AAGGAAGGAAGGAAGGAAGGAAGGAAGGAAGGAAGGAAGGAAGGAAGGAAGGAAGGAAGGGAGGGAAGGAGCAAGCCCAATAACTGGAATGCTATTCACCCCTAGGAAAAAATGGCAGAGGTAGAAAATCATTCATCTTCAAAGAGAAGGTGCAGGGAATTAAAACCGTATTAATTTATCTTTTCAGAAATACAGGTTCTGTGAATGAACAAAAGACCTCCCTTACCTGCACTCCTGTGTCTGACATCGTATGAAATCACTCATGATATGCTCTCAAAATTCTAAATATGTCCCTCAGCCCCAAGAGACTCGGAACTCCTTCACTGGAGTATTTCCTAGAGAGCTGTTAAGCAGTGAAACCATGAACCTCATGGAGGCATGGGGGTTCCATCACTGGAGATCTTCAAGAAAAGCTTGTGAAACCATCTGTCAGGGATGGTATGAGGACTTCTGCCTCATATAACACTTCCAAGGTTCCTTCCAACACTATACTCTATGGTTCCACAAAAGAAAGTTGACTGTGTCTAGTTGGTACAGGTCACTCATAATGATGATGCTTGTTTATCAAATTTCTGTTCTTGAACTTGCACTTTCAGAAAATGTTATCTTATAAACATGATGAGTTCCTTAGCAATCTTATAAAGTTGTTGTTAGAGAGGTCTACTATTATGTAATAGGTTTTGTGAAGTAGTGAGACAGCAACAAGATAGTGCCAATACTGCATTATTATTAAATTCTTACATAATGGAAATTCAGTGTCACATATCCTTAAGGAGAAGTTATAGAGATCAAATTCTGCCAATGCACTCTTTTCCCAGCCACTTATCTCTCCAGCTTTCTCTGAATAAATGTGCAACAGGGTTGCACCAGCTATGCTGTGGGGAACTTCAAAGGGAATTAGATATTAATGGTTCAATTAGTCTTTTGCCCCTATACACAAATTAGATGAAAGCCAGTTCTTCAAAGTTCCCAAGTACTCCATTAGTGGTAGAAAAGAAGCAATTGAGGAAGGTGGGGATAGTGAATATGCTATCAATCAATTCCTAAATGTAAAATAGCGTCCTTGTTGTTGATTACATCAATCCGGAATATCTCCTGTTATGTAGCACAGAAAGAGTCTATCTACATAATATTTTGTTTTCTCAGACCTGACACATTCTGTACACACTGAAGATGATCAAACTGCATCGTAATATTTTTGGAAACAATGGATTTCCAAAAATGATAGCTGTGTAGTGCCATTAACTTCATAGAAATTAAAAGAAGACCCTGATCAAGTATGAATAAGCCCTGAAAATCAAAGCAAAAATATGAATTGGTCAGGTTTAACAATTTAAAAATTATATGAAATACTGTAATGGTAGTGGGAATTACTTTGGGAAACAGGAGGAAGAGCCATACACTAGACAATAATCATGCAAAAGGTGTATCAGCCCACAGGAGAAGAGGGGGTGTGGAAAAGGTTTCAAAAGGGACCCTCACTAGTTTTCTGGAGAATTAAAGAAAAGTAGGGAATAATAACAAAGGGCTAGCATCAGACTTGCAAGACTGATCACACTGCAAGACCTCTGAGGTAGTCCAGACAAGAAGCACAACAATGAATATTAGCTCTATCATTATTGTAAGATTACATCAACAGAATCTTGCAAGACTGAAAGTATTTAGAAGGGTCCCTTCTAAAAGGCTTCCCATGACCCCTCTGCTTCTCTGGAGTGGGATACCTTTTGCATGATGGCTATCTAGTCTACGGCTCTTCCTCCTTTCTCCCAAGATTTGTTCCCAATACCTATGTATATGTTTTATTTTCTATTTTCTTTTTTCCCTTAGCTCACATATGGCTCAGCTCCAGTGATGGATAACATGATTCATTCAGCTTTCTTTCATCAGATGTTTCCAAATGAACATCTTCAAATTATGGGGATCCTCCAGCTGCTGCTGCATTTTAGGTGGACCTGGATTGGGGTGATTTGTCAAGGAAATGAAATTGGTGAAAGATTTCTGCGGGAAGTCCTTATCATGTTTTCCCAAAATGGAATCTGCTTGGATTATACTGAAGAGCTTCTGCTCGAAGCTTTTTCAAATGAGCTGGGAGAAAAAATCGATAATTTTCTCAAAGTATACAAAATCATTATGACAGGTACTTCCAGTGTTGTGATCGTATATTGTGAAAACCAGGTCATGACTCTTTTCAGAATGATGTCCTCTGTTTCAGAAGATTTCAACATAGCAGTTGAGAGAAAAGATAAAGTTTGGATTTTTCCAGCCCAGATGGAATACGCTTCAATTCCATTTCAAAGAGACAGGAGCATGGAGTTCATCCATGGTGCTCTTTCTTTTGCAGTTTCGTCAAAAGAATTATTAGGATTCAATACATTTCTTCGGATGAGAAATGGTGTTCCAAAAAAGGAAGACAGTTTTTCAAGGGTCTTCTGGGAACAAGCCTTTGAATGTTCTTTCTCAAAATCTACTTTAAACCCAAACTCAGAGAAATGGTGCACTGGGGAAGAGAAGCTGGAGACTCTTCCAGAGTCTATTTTTGAATTGAGCATGACCGGGCAAAGCTACAGTATCTACAATGCAGTCTATGCTGTGGCACATGCTCTGCAAGCTATGCTTTCATCCCACTCCAAACACACAACAATGGCTGGTAGTGGGAAACAGAAGCTTCTCAATCAACAAGTGTGGCAGGTAATCTGCTATATTTATTAATCTAGCAGAAGATATTGCTTCCATATCTACAACTATCCACAAATTATGTAGAAACCGATTTAAATATGTTTGGAGGAATGACTTAGATGGACCAGAATGTCTACATCTTCCCATTTCAAATGGCTGGTTTCTCCCTCCCTCATCATTTTTTATTACACAAAGTTCCAGATATTTTGATTACTGTTTATATTTGTATTTTATATGGACTATCTATAATATTATTAATAAATGCTACCAGTTCTGATTTGTAATAATAAAATTACTTTAGTTGTCTGGTGATCAAAGTGTGGGTGCAACTATTGTGTCTCCTCTCCCATGTCATTGTTTAACCTCCCATGGAACTTGCCCATTAGTGGTACTACTGTCACTTCTAAGATGGAGTCCTCATGTTTAGAAATGGTGGGAGAAGCTCTCCTTCCCCTGGAGAAATTTAGGAAAATGGTGCACCCACTTTCTCTCTCAACACATAGAACAGAGAATTTTGAATGGCCATTTGTGCTTTAAAGATGGATGCATAACTATGAAAGGGAGCAACAGGACAAAATGTTGGTGATTTCAGGCCCTGAGAATGAAAATTACAACACAGAAAGGAGGGAGACAGTGGTGAGGAAGGAGATAGAAGAGAGTGCCAAATGGTAGTAAGGAGGAAGACATGCTACTGGTGGTGGTGTCATGTACCTCTGGGTGATAGCCATGAAAACAGGACTGTTAGCCTCCCTTAGTACTTCTCTGTCTCTCCTGGTGATTCTTCTGGCTGCTGCTGATGGAAGTGATGAATTTGCACTATTTTTATCATACTTTGGGAGCACACAATGTCTTCTGAAATAATATTGCTGCATATTTTTGCCATTCTTGTATATCTTTATTAATCACTGTCATGTTCTTCCCTTGAGCTTCATCACTACCTGAGAAAAGTCTCATTTAACAACTGTGCTGGAGAAAATATTTACTTTGACCAGAATGGGAAGGTTGCAACTGGCTTTGACATTATCAACTGGGTCACCCTCCCAAACCAATCCTTTCTTAGGGTCAAAGTTGGAAAAGTAAATCCATCGGCTCAACTAGAAAAACTTCTCTCTCTATTGGCACACAACATTGTCTGGCCCAACCTTTTCAACCAGGTATCTTTTATTCATTTTTCAAAGACTGGCTCACTTCTCATCCTGCAATGATCTCTGAATAGGTTACTTCAACAGCTGCAAAAATTAATGAATCAGATAGCTGCTGATCAGTTTTGAAACTACAGTGAGAAAAAGGAACATGAAAAGGTTACGAAACATTTTTTTTTTTTTTACCCCAAGCCAGAACACAGACTTCAGTGCAATCTAGAACTTTGGGAATATTTCTCACAAAATCCATCAAAGAATGCAGCAATATTCTTGATGGACAGGACTTTGAAGAAGACTTTGCATAAGAAATAGTAACTCAACATGCACCTACCTCTGAACTTATTAGCCCTAATCTTTGAGATCTATTAGATGAAGAAGAGATTTTTCCGTTTACATGACTCATTATGCCAAAAGGATATTTGAAGGGATAAGACAAGCCTTGCATACTAGCATACAATGTTTCACAACTCTAACCTAATCAAAAAAAGCAAAAGAAAAGACTCCTGGAAGATGGTAATTTCTAGATTGCTAATGTTTAAATTCTGAATGCATCATACTTTCTTTTATTAACAGACACAACCTCTTTCTTTGTGCAATGACCATTGCTCCTTGGGTTATAGTAAGATCAAAATAGAAGGGAAGCCATTTTGCTGTTACAAATGTCTTCGTTGCCCCGAAGGGAAAATTGCCAACCAGACAGGTAAGAGTTGTCATGGAAAAATGGTTGATATCTATTAGCTCTTAAGGTCAATAGGTTTAAAGCACTACCCAGGCTTCTGACGTTGGGGCATTTAGCCCTACAGACCCTGAGGACAGAGATGGTTACCACAACAACCAGGGGATTGTCCCAAGTCAACATGGCCCCAACTCATAAAAGGGGCAATGGCCCCTGACCTAGTTTTTACCTCAGAACCACTAGAACATTATCTGAAGGCTCGCAGGCTTTGGGTTACAATGGTTGGAATATGGAGTATGGAAGTATGATATGTTTGTTGTTGACCAGATCCACCATCTTGTTACTCTTATATACTCCCTTTTTAACATATTATATTGTTTTGTTTTCATACTGTGAGCCAGCCAGGATCAACTGGAATCAGTCAATGACTAAGTAGAATAGAATAAGTAAGTCAAGGATAACAAATACCTTTGTCTTAGTCAGATTCCTTTCTAGTCACCATAAGTCTCACTGCCAGTGCCATTAAGAGGGAGGAAGGACCTAAAAATTTGCCAACCCCATGCATTTATGGATACAAATGACATGAATTCTAGCAACATGAAAGTATTCCTTGTTCTTAGGCCTTCCATCTAAGGAAGTCACACCAGATAGTGCCAGTGAGTGTGAGGTTTGCCCCATTTATATACAGTAGCTTCCCTGCCATTTTTGGTGGGGGTGTGGTTTTCCCCTTGGTAGTTCCTTCATCAGAGTACTGTTTCCTGCTTCATTGGTTGCCTGATATTAATCCCTACTTATCTGATTGTTGGCTGCTGGAGAAGATGTGCTCTGGTCTTTTTCTTTCCTTCTTAGTTTTTTTATTGTCTCTTTTCAACAGTGTATAAATGTGGTTTATCTCTATCTTGTTTAACTTGTTTCCTCTAAAGCAACAGTATAAATTGGGGACTCAGCTAATTTCAAATGTACAGACAGAATGAAATCATATCTGATTAAGTCAAGTCACAGTATTTTCCAAGGACCTGTTCTCAGTCAAAGAAGTTTTAAAACTTCCCTGGCCTGCAGCCTTCCAAATAAGTTGGATTTCAAATTCCCAAATTCCCAGACTTTGAGATGAATATCTGGAAATTCCAGACACTGATATACAATACTTCTAAAAGTTGGGGAAGGCTAAGCTAACTCCGCAATTTTATGTTCTTGACAACTCTATTTCCTCTTCCAGGTTTAGATGACTGTTTCCCATGTCCCAAAGAAAAATATCCTAACAAGAACCAGGCTCTCTGCATTAAAA